AGAGTCGTTAATTTACATGATAATGTGGCGGAAAAAAAACACAACCCCGTGTGACAGATGACGGATGATGATAGGCAACTTAATTGCCGGGTAATTAATGCAAGCAGCAGCATTTTGTGGGATATTGCAGCTAGATTTGTACCTAACTTTACCAAGATTAATCTCCAGATTATACTACTACTGAATGTTGAACATATATATATCCTTCTGAACATGTCAGCAGTCTGGCACAATTAAACAGGATGTACAGGTGCAAGACAAAATGTATTTTAAAGAGATAATTGATCAGCACTCTATGGTTTTCCATAGAAAATACTGCATTCATTTGCAAATAAGGAAACAACAGCATGTTCTCCTTGAATGGAGTAAGTACACATCATGGATTTACATATTATGGGAATTGGATACCGTGTTCCAAGATGACACCCATCCACATCAAAGAAAGTTAGTCACTGAGCTCATACTAGGACGATGTATATGCTTGTGTGTGTGCCGCACCAGCCCTCCTCAACCCCCTGTAATCACTGCCCCGATCATTTTAGGTGGGAGATGAGTGGCAAGTTTGCTACGTGTAACAAGATCTAAAAGCTTTGATAAACAAAATAAACTCACCAAATGTCAAGAAAGGATAAGAAAAACTTGATAAAATACAAGCCTACACCTTCTGAATTCAAGTTTCTCTCTTATAACCAACTAAGACCTCGTCAGGAAATCTTAAAACAAACACTTCATTCAAACTTCATTTTGCACTTATAACTCACAAACCGTCTTTATTAGTCTTTGGTTCCAACAGTCACAAACTCTGCTGTCTAACAGTGTTAGATGTTGTAGCTCTACACGCTGTCGCTACCTCTCTGATGCCCCCGACCTCCCTCGGTCCTCTACCCGCTTAATGCCTCTCCTCTCCTGTCACTGCCCTGTCCCAGGTTATCCCTGCTGTGTCCTCATCTTCCCCGGGGTTAAGAGTCTTTTTTGGAGCCTCTGCAGAGTGTCATCAAACTAGTTGAAATAAACCCTTAATTCACTGCAGTAAGATGTGAAAATGCACTGGCTCTACAGCTGTTTTTTCTCTCACTTGTTCTTTGGCTCAGTGTGTGAAATGCGCTGCTGAACGTCTGTCACTGAGCGTTTCTCATTCTCCGGAGGCAGGAAAAAATATTGTATATATAATAAATTATAATATATTCGTCCAAAAGCCCAACCCTAGTGCATACTATGAAAATAATTATCCAGCTTCTTAATTTTTGTTCCCAAAGCCCATGTTCAGTACAGTCTTTTAATGACAGGAAAGTTTGTATGTACATGACTGAAATACTGAATGAAGGGACCCTATTACTGGCCCAACTCAAATATGCTTGAACACATCACACACAAATTATATTAATGCTTTATTTGAAGCTTTGTAAAACAGTATGTTTAACTCTTACGACAGGAAAGTTTTCCAAGAGAAATATTATTGGACATCTTGGCACGTTCAAGAGGCTGGTGCTTTGAAACCTTTAGTTCAACAGTGGAAAAATTGATGATGAACGTACTGAATATACTAATTATGAAAAACTAATGACAATCTCAAACTAAATCCTCACTTTTTATTATACACCTTGGCCATAATCTGATACTGGTCTGCTTCCCAAGTGTTTATCAGCCACCGCTTATGGGTCTGGAAATGACACATGCTATAGCAATTAACCTTGGGACTTTTGTACATGACAGCATAAGTCAAATGGGTTATATATATTAAATCAGTGGCTGGAGTGTGCATGATATTCATGCAATGTGTCTGCTTATGTGCATGGGCACTATTAATATATAAATGCATGTTTGCATTTGGTAATATTAGGTCCTCCAGATCAGAAAGAAGATCAAGCTTGAGATTCACTCATTCAAATCTCTTAAGCATAACAGATAATGTGGTTAATTGACAATAATATATTACAACAATGTTCAATGTTCCGCGCAATGTGAAAATGTATGCATAGACAGACCTGTGTCAAGATAAACAATTTTAGGCTCCTCCATAGCTCGACTGCCATCACTTAACCTTGCAAACCACTTTCTAATCTAGTTTGTGTGGGCACTTAAAAATACAGCCATATACTCATGGGTTTTTAGGTATTGTGCCATGGTTTATTATGGGTCCAATATTCTTATGGAATCACACAGGATATTTCCAACTAACCTTGGGCTGAGAAAGGGCTGAGGAGGGTGAGGCAGTAGCAAATAGGAGTATTAATCACAAGACAACCTCACCAACACTCCGCACTCCCATCACCTCCCACACACACACACACACACACACACACACACTATTTAACAGGAGGCTTCAGCCACATACATGGAACTCCCTGCCAGACAGAACCAATCATTCTCGGCGAGGCAATGAGATCCCTGATGAGCAGCATCAATAGTAATCATAGAATTTACCATGACGGTGATGGATTTTTATGCCTTTTTGCCCTCATTACAAGCCAGTGTAATAGCTTAGCTAAACTCATATTTACTTACTGTAGCTAAACTCATAAATTGTAACATCAGTATATATACTGGTAGTTATTCTATAATTCTACTAAATTTGCTGAAAGTTCTATTTTATTCTGTTTTACAGATTTTATTTTTATTAATTTTACCGTAACTCATTAGCTGATTGTATTAGAGATAAAACAGTATGAAAATAGTGACCAAAATTATCATGGTTATCAGTATTATCGCAATATTGTTAAAATGTGCTCTTTAGAAAGTACTAATACATACACTAAAATCATCACTAAATTAGCAGAACTATGCAATTTTTTGTATGCATAAACATTATAGTAATAAAATAGCCAATACCTTATCATATAACCATATCAAATGTGAATTAACATTAATTCACCTGCTCACACAGACATACACACACACACACACACAGTCTGTCTTCTGTGTCTCAAGAAGACAGTGATGGTAATTGCAATGAGCCCAACAACTGACATAAAAAGGACTTTTGTATAGGAGTCTATAGCGTCTCTCCTGTTTGAACACGTTTATAACCAATTTGACGACTGCAGGATTTTAAGTGAACAAAACAAGTTGGTTGGATGACTAAACTACGTACGCGCTATCGTGTACAGCAGCAGAACAACGTGTAGTATTTTTACAAGAATAGGTAACACTAAAAGCTTCAGTTTACATTATTGACAAACTATTAGCAAGTTTGACAGACATGTTTCCCCATTCCAAAGTACCAACATCATGCATTGAGCTTAAAGTTAAATTTCCGTTACCTTGCATTAGCTATGAAGTGAACCTGGTGGTCATAATGTTATGCAGCCCCATACGCACTGTGTGTTCTGACACTTTTATATCAGAGCCAACATTCACTTTCTCAGCAATTTGAGCTACAGTAGCTCGTCTGTTCGATCAGACCACACAAGCCAGCCTTCGCTCCCCACGATGAGCCTTAGCCAGCCACTTTTGGCTCAATGTTAGCAGTACATTGACAGTCATGTTGTGTTTTTTTTTTTGTGTGTGTGTTTTGCTCTGTATAGCGTTTTACTGTCTGGGTGTTTGTATTGTGTTGCGTGTCCTTACTTTTCGAACTTGTTCATTTTCCCTCAGCTACAGATACAGCTACAGGGTGGGCTGTTTCACTGTCAACAGACCCTTTTTCTTCGAAACAAAATTCCTCTGAAGCTCTTTTTGGCAAACAAAAAAGAACAAATAGAAGAAAAGAATATATATATATATATTATTTCAACACTCCTACAGTGCTAATGTTGGGTTTACAATATACAGTTACAGCTTTCCTGAAGAAAAACTATCTTAGCCATATCTAATTTAAAAGCAGTTTGATTTGTCATTTATATTGGGTACTGTAAAACAAACATCCCTAAAGGATAAATTCTGAGGAGTTACTGCCTGCCATTAGACAAAAAAGAACCATTTGCCAAAATGTCTTAACCTCTAAAAATACAGGAAAGTGGTAAATTTATTTCTAACTGACACAGTAAAATAGGATTTTTTCCCCTAACTTGATTACCTTGTTTCAGTGAATGCCAATGAAACCCTACAAGCCAGCACATTGAGTAGTAAGGGAAGAAAGGTCATTTTTCTTTTGAAGCATCCCAGTCTTTATAGTTATCTGCTAAAAAGCTGCCAATTTAATTAGTAAAAAACCTTTAACACCTGCTATAAAAGAATAATCAACTGATATAAATTATGTACCACTTAGGCAACCGTCAGTTGATATGAATGCATCACAGTTTTGCTCAGCAATACTAAAAATACTAAGATGACATTTTAAATGTGTCTATCTTTATCTGTCTGCAATTACTCTGTTCTTTATTCTGAGATTATTGCAGGAGTGATGACATGAAGTGAGCTGAGCGGGCGGATGGGAGAATGTGGGGGAAGGGAGGAAGGAGGGTGCAATAAGACCTTTACCAGGTCACAGAAGAGTGGAGAGGATACCTGAAGGTTAAGCTAAACTGTTGGGTAAACAAACACAACCCTGCAGTGCAGGCAGGTGTGTATGTTTGTGTGTGTGTGTGTGTGTGTGGTATCAAGGGTATTGTAACCTTTGTTATTGCAGCACGCAAATAAGAGCATTAGAGTGCAAACATTACCCTAATTGGTCATTTGGTTCCTTTTTTCCCAGGTTGTGTGCATAGATTAAATAGAACCTGCTATGAAGCACATGGGACCATCCCTTGCTGAGTGGGAGTGCATGTGCTTACACATACGGACGTTATGCTTCTGTAAACACATATGGTATTAATATATTCATATACAGTAGAAAACCCCCACACACCTCTGTCATGAACCTACATTTTGTCCAACAGAGCTTTTAGTCCCACTTCTCTTCCCTTTCTACTTTACACCAGTTTATCCCGCCCTTTGTGTAGAGGTCATGGATGTGTACGTACAGTACAACGCTCTGCTAGTCATGCACAGCACACAAAACCAGACATGCACGAACACACACATACAGTGTGATTGCCTCACTGGAGTCATTAGTGATAAACATGAGGTAATCATTACTAGTGGACATATTTTTAGACTCTAATTAAACGCTGGTCCTGCCGAGAGAGCACAGCATGTCACACACCCCTTGATGAGTGAGATACGTGACTCTAGTGCTCTTATTTTTCTCTCTGCTTACTTTTCTCAGCCAGATGTGTATGGTATGCTTCAGATACATAACTGCAGTCTTCAGTTCAGCTTTTCTTCATATCACAAAGTGTTTGAAAAGTCATGTCTTTATGTTTATGAGTGAGTCCCTCTAGGAAGTAAATCATATCTCAGTTACCTCTTCTGTCTTAAACTATGGGTCCTTTTATGGTAAAGTTCTACCCTTTTTTATGGCATATCTAGAAGAAGTATTGAGAAAGGAACTTTTTTTCTGATGGCAGAAAAATAAAGGAATAACAGTGTGAAATGGGTAAATGACAAACAGTTAGACAGACATTAGAAATTGACAGAAAAAGGGTTTAAGGAGAAATACGAGAAAGAGTTAGAGGGAGAGAGAGAGAGAGAGAGAAATGGAGTTTATTAGCCAGGTTGTTATAGACTGTCTTGCCGTTGTTTCCAAGGGAACAGCTATGCTGTGTGTGGAGGTTGCTGTAACCCCTGAATTCTCAGGCATTACTTTTGGATATGGGCTGAAATTGGCTGGGATATAACAGGATAACATCTAATCTCTTCAATTAGATCCACCAGGGGGCTTCCCACTGTGTGTGTGTCTGTCTGTATTAGCTTGCATGCTTTTGTGTGTGTGTGTGTGCATCGTGTGTGCATGTGTATTACAATCTGTTCTCATGCAATGGGCAAAAAGAACAATTTTGTTACAGAAATGTGTTGTCTGTCATAGAAAAATGTGGCATCCACTAATTGCAATGCATTACAGGCCAATGCAAGCAAAGAATTCATGTTGGGTGTGTTGAAAATATACTCTTTACATGAATGACTCTCTCTCTCTCTCTTTCCAATATGTACGCTTTTAGTGTCCTTTTCTCACACTCTTCAATAGCTATCTAAGTACATACTCAATACTCTTTACGTTAGCATACATAATGTATAATTATCTATGCTCAGCAGCACTCCTCAAAGTGCTGCACTTCAACCGATTTTCAGTCTTATTCTCTGCTATCCTCTTTCCCATCTGTCCTTGGGGCACAAAATGTGTTCCTCTCATCTCTTATGAGGCATAATTCTCTCTTTCCCACTCTGGGCCCTATCTTAACGAACTGAAACGCAAGTATCAAACGCAAAACGCAAGTAGCTTTGGTGGGCGGATCTCGGGCGCTGTTGCTATTATTGCCAGCGGGATAAATGACTCTTGCCGCCTGACGCAAATCTAAATGGGTTGGTCTGGAAGTAGCATAGCACTTACTCATAGGTGTGGTTTTGGCGTAACGTGCAATAAACCAATCAGAGCGTCATCTCACATTCCCTTTAAAAGCAGGCGCGCCTTGTTCCATGGCGGAATTGCTATTATAACGGCGGATTTGCCAGGCGCACGGGTTCGAGCAGTGGCAAGGCCCAGGCTGAGGAGGGGAGCGCGCAAAACACCAAGGTGCAGAGGATCCAGATCCCCACTACACGCCGTGGCAGGCATCGTCAGACCGGAGGACCACCCGTTCCTGCAGCTCCAGCCAAAACTGGGTTTTACATGCTGAGCGGGGAGCTGTCCGGGATGCGGCAAAGTATTAAGGCCCGTCTGGACCGTGGCGATGTGGGTGGGTTGCCTCTCAGGCGATCCCTCAAGTCTGGAGAAGGATTGCTGCAGCCATGGAGCGTGGGCCCCAAACGCACCCTGCTCCTGTTGTGCCCTTTCCTCCTCCCCACTCCATCTCCGTTCCACCCGCTCCACCAGGAGCCATCGCCATTGCCATTCCGAAAAAATAATATCATGTACATCATATTCCTTGGTAATTATGTGATGGTTTGGCAAAAACGGGAACTGCTTCCTTTGTAGATGAGAGAAGCAAAGTGTATGCCGTTGTGCACACGCTACATTATGGGCCAAGCGTGCGCCCTTAAAATAGCTCTGAATAAGCGGCCACTGGACTTTAGACTAGGTTTTTCCTGTCTGTTGCGGACCCCAATAGCACCAGGGGAACGCAAGTGTCATTCCCTAATTTGAAGAACGTGCTTAAGGACGTGCGTCTGTGGAGGGAAAATTCCAATGTGCGTCGAATGCAAAATAGGAATTATACAAGCGCCAGTGTACAAAGGCAATTGCGCCTGAGTGCAAGATAGAGCCCTCTGTCTGTCTGTCTACCCCTCTCACTGCCCCATACCCTTTTCTTGCAACACCTAGTACTGTGATCTGTATTAAGCAAATGCTGCTTAATCTCGTTATAACTGTTGCAGTGTTAGAACTAAACTGTAGAACATATGAAGTGTATATGAAGTGTATAAACGTACAATACTATAAGTAACTAACTTTTTAAACTCTGGTATATTGTTGTATCCTTATCCCGGCACATTGATGATATATGAAAAAGTTACAAGGCAAATGTTTTACATTGCTTAAACTGTGAAGAATAATTATTAATTATTTTTAGGATCAATAGTGTTTTGCAATTGCTTGTGAAATCTGCAGTATGCAAATGAGATTGGAAACTATAACGATATTATTTATTTAATATCATCTTTGCCTAAGAAGGAAGGAAGTATATTACCTGGCAACCCAACCACATTGGCCAGTCCCATGTTATTCCAGCAATGAAATCTCTATCAAGCTACTGTCTGTAAATTGAGCTTTGTTTCTGGGGTTGACTTTAGGTTATGTGACTTATGTGCTCTATTGGTCCTCCTGAGCATTTTGCTCATGCATGAAGACTGCAGGAGCAGTGCTCTTTGACCAAACCCATCCTTTGTACTTAAGAATATCATATATCTTTCAAGTCCAGGCCCAAGCAATTCAATGCTTGCATAGTCATTTCATATGCCTATGAACTATTTGGCTTGGATCTTGCAGGCGCTGTGAGGCTGCACTCCCTTTCCCCTTTGTTTTCTTCTATTAAGACATTTCTGGATCTTTCTCCACGTTGTTGCTCAGTCTTGGTACTATGGACTACGGAGAGCTACCATTCTGTATTCCTATACCCTTGAAAGATAAAAACAGATGGGAAGAAGGGTGATGTGTACAGTGTGGGACACTTTGCCTGTGTTCTAGTTGAGAAAGTGCTTGATTGTTCTGATTGACTTTGATCTGCAAAGTAGTTCACCTGCACCTCTCTGCTTGGCTACATGATTGCTGGACACCCTGGGATTTTGTCCCCGCAAGATGGTCGTGTTTTTAGATTCCCCTACAGGAACCAACATAGATGTACAGAGGCTCTATCCCCTTTTAGAGGTGTGGTTTGGTATGCCGGTTGTTGTGTTACTGTGTGATGTCAGGCATGCTTTTGCCTTCCTGCCCAACTGTGGATGGGTGGATGCCCCAATACATCCTTCTGCTGTAATAAACTCATGGGAGGAGGTCTAAATTTCTTGCTAGCCCCTTAAAGCCCACTCTTGTGTGCTTATTTGAAACACATACTAAAGATTTAAAGTTGTAAGTCTTTTTCTATATGACAAGGTGGAACTGCCTAAATGTAGATTTACATCAGTAATATAAAACCAACCAGTTTAATTAATTTATTATTATTCATTTCTTTATGCTCGTTTTATGTCATTTTTCACAAAAGCAGAACAAGTCCAGTGCACAGTGTCATTTGTGATATCATGCCAAATTGCTTGTAGAAATGTCTCACTCTAGTAACACCACCCCACCAACACCAACTCCCCGCCTAAGGTACTGCAAGCGGTCACCTTAAGAATGAGATAATCAATCATTAGGTGTAATCTGATGCTTTTCTCCCACACATCCCACACAGCTGTCTTGGGCCTTTGATTGCGATACATTCCAATATTCAGAGAACAGATAGTGAGCCTAGCATAGACATACACACATCATAAATGTACACACTCCAGTGGACAACACAGATTACATTAGCAGTCACAGTTTTCTTAGTAAAGGACACAGAAAGGACAAAGCATTTGTTTTTAACCAATTTGACACCAGGGTCTCATTCATCATTTAAACATTTTCTAAGAAAATGTTTCTTATTCAGTTGCAGTGTATCACAAACACCCATGAGCAGATGCATTTGTTAGTAGTTGTGTTAGATGTCCTTCTCTTTGTCTCTGATATTTCTTGCTCATTTATTACTAAACAGAGTCCATATGAAACCATTTAAAAGAAAAAAACACATTTTACATATTTTTTATTCATATTTACTTGAGCATTCACACGGTTCTCCATTTATGTGTTATCGGATTGATTTACTTTCGTTGAAAATACACACAAAGTGGTTGCTTTTGCCACATGAGGCAAGTCTAACATCCAACCATAATAGTCTCCACGAGGCACCACTTTCAGGACACTTAAATTTACAAGTGATCTTGCTAAAATGTTCTACTTACCCACAGGGAGCCAGGTGATTTCCAAATGCTCTTAAGTTAAAGCAATGCAATGTGAGTTAAAGCTAATATGCAAAGCAGCGTGCTGGACAATTTATTTTTCAAAACACTGAACGTTTGCCAGCATGCCTCTTTAATAATGTTAGGATTTTTTATTAAATTTATTTTATTTATTTTTTTATCATCAATCATCAATGTTATTTAAAAGAGAATGCTTCCTACAGTATGGGGAATGTGGTGGTGCAAATGTCTGAAGCTATCAATGAAGTATTGGTTGTCTATAAACCTTTCACATGTGTTCACATTTTGTAATTGTAACAAATTTCATATAAAAATCTTTTATACTATTAAATTATCTAAAAGATCTTGCATGACTTGAGCATCTAAATCATTGTGTTGATTGAAAAAAAAATCCCAAATTGGAATGATGGCAAAAAAAGAACAGAATCCGAGCAGCCAGGCATGGGAGGAAATTTGTCGGCAGCTGCCAGGGATGGTTAAAGATGCAGTTATTAAAAAACAGCACATGGAGGAAAATCCTAGATAATTAGCAAACTGAATTCCCTTGCCGTAGAGACTTATTTTAAAAATAAATGACCAGCATTACAAAATGACAGACTAAGCTGTCCGTATTACCAACTCAAGCAGTCTATCTGATGGAGCAGTCATTAGTTGTTAGAGCAAGCCAGATCTTCTACCTACGCAAGGGAAAAGTTAATCTGCCAGTTTTCTGTATGCCATGAGTGAAAAGCACTTGCGTGCGCATGCTTTTCTGCGATTGCTAAATTGTATAATCTGCCTAAAGATAGCCATAGCCCAGAGAAAGAGACATTACTGCACCACTGTCTAATTGGAATATATGGCAAGGACACTAAAAAAAAGAAAATGAGAGCTGTCACTCATCTCTGTCGTAGCTCAGCTACCATAACACTGGTCTTTTTTCAGAATCAGAATATGTCAAAACAGATCAGCCTCACTAGGGTTAAACTTAGAATATTTAATGTTTTTTAAATATGTTTTCATAATGACATTCAGATGCTGAACTACCGACGAGAGAAAAATGTCACGGTTTATGTTCTCAGAGTCGAGTTTTTCTTCCCTCCTTGGAATTGTCCCTCTTTCCTGTAAAGCTGTGCGACCTTTAAGTGTGGGCTAATCTCAGTTTGCCCGTCTGGCTGCTGGGCCTTAATCCACTGACTCTCTTTATTCTTTATTCAATCTCTTTATTCAACACTTAGACCCACACTAATCTTTATCCAACTAATGTTACACACCTGGCCTGTCTTACTCGCCCTCACTTTTCTCACAGACACAGGCACACATGCAAACAGTTGCCACTTTTTGTTCTCTCCAAATTGACATTTCTTACAGTAAATTGCTAGCATTGCATCGCCTAATATTCAAGATTTCCCTTTTTTTGTAGCGTCAGTGCAACACAGATAGTAATAAAGCATGTACGAGATACTCCGAAAATGGTGGAGGAAACAGAGGCTCCAGGTTGTATCAGACAGACTTTATTACTGTATTTGTTTAGGACTAGGGAGATAGCTATGTGGGAGTGAAAGACAACTTTAAATGAGGAGTCCTGGATATATTGTTTCTATGAAATAAAGACAAGAATGCTTACTTTCTCACTGATAGTTTTTAGGATGAGGCTATGAAATGCAATTAAAGAATTACAAATAAACATAATCTTTGTTCTCATGTGACAGCAGCGAAAAGCAAGATGGCTTTTGGATTGGGAGAGGTAGGATAAGGTCAGGAGGACCATTGGCTCAGTGGGTCCATTGCATTGGTACTGTAGAACAAATAGCTGCTCTATGCCTGTGTGTGTGTGTCTGAGTGTGTTTGGAGAGCAGGTGGGTAAGTCTTCTGTGAGTGGTGGGCTGTGAAACAGCTGTCTGAGACGATGACTGACGAAGATGGATGAGATGGCTACATAAGGCGCTGTCCACTAGCCCAGGGTACACACTGCCCTAAAGCAAGAAAATACAAACACACACACACATACACCTAAACGCACAGGTTACACACACGTAAACACACATTATGTCTCTATCTTAAAAACGTTCAGTCTTGTTAACACTTTTACATGCAGCAGAAATGCATTGCATCTCAGAAGGTAGCCTCGAAGCTCCACTGTGTCGCTGTGTTGCTGAACTGGCACCTAGAAAGAATGGCTGCTCTGAGATTAGCTAAATCTGAAAATCCTAATGCCATGCTTGTTTGTGCCAGCTGATACAGGACCAGACTCTCGCTGACATAAACACTGTGTTTACACACACATACACACTGAGCTAGCCTTACAGCTGACAGATAACATATTCATTGGATTTCTCTTCTTTTCTTTGTCAACTATGGTGTCACCCAGCGGTCAACACTCAGTTGAAGTTTTACACAAGCACACACACATGCATGAACACAGATCAGACAGATTTACC